TTTGTTTATAATATTCATGCAGGATAATCATGCAGAATATTAAAAATCTGCATAAAATAAATTAATCTGCTATCATTTTTCTTCATTGTTTCTGATTGTTATTAGAAAAATTTTGATTATTTCATTAAAAGATTTTGAAAATTGTATGTAAAGCTAAATCAGTTTTACATATAAGTTCACATACAATTTTACATACAGTTTAAATAAAAAACATACAGTTTTGATCAGTTCACTAAAAGATTTTGAACGTAAATCTTATTTCTAGCAGTCCAACATTGTAAAAAGACTACTGTTGATACATAAGAATCCTACTAAGTTATTGTTGATTCTATAGTATCAAGAATCCTACTAAGTTATTGTTGGTACGATAGAATCAAGTAATGATCTATAGTATGGATTAAAGATAAAAATGGTAATTTCCAACAAATAAATAAAAAATGAAGGCCTAAAGTTATTGCTTTAAAGGTATTGTTTGTTTTGTCTATTGTTGTTAAATCATTCTGGATTTCTATTTCATATTTTTCTCAAAATTTAAATGCTTCGCTGTATCAGAATAACTTCCAGAAATGAAAGTTTGATGTATTTTTAGTTAGTAAAGTATTTATTCATTTAATATATAATATAATAAATTTAAGTTGTAGGTGGAAGGCTTGAATATTTTTCGTATTTTAGTATGCATATCTCCTATAGAGTAAATGCTAATGAAGTATTTATTTAATTACTAAAGTGATTTTTAGATTCATTACTTTAAATGATGGTTTTATAGTACATTTATTTTCGTAGAAATTATCATATGTAAACATCATCCCAAGATCTTAGCATGATTTTCTATATTCTGCATATATATATATATATATATATATATATATATATATATATATATATATATATATATATATATATATATATATAAATACAAATAGTAATATTTATACATATATATATATATATATATATATATATATATATATATATATATATATATATATATATATATAAATATTACATATATATATATATAAATACAAATAGTAATATATATATATATATATATATATATATATATATATATATATATATATATATATATAAATATTACTATGTATATATGGATATAAGTATATACATATATACATAGTAATGCATACTTTAGCGCTATGATGTCACACTGATTTAGGTGTGAGACGATACATAAACTGATTTAGGGAGAACTTGCAAGGGAATTGGTAACACATACAAGGGTTTCAGTTAAGGAAGGATAAATTTATTTTCATTCTTCTTTCTTTTTTAACTTCTTTTTTTAAATAACAAGAATGGAAAATAGTTTGCTAATGTTTTAAATATATATATATATATATATATATATATATATATATATATATATATATATATATATATATATATATATATATCTGTGTGTGTATAAGTTATGTATTTTTATATAAATAAAAGTTGGGAATGTTTTACTTGTTTTCTCAAAATTGCATCTTAATTTTCTTTCTTATTTAATATTTAAATGTTTTAGATATTTTATCCAAAAAATTTAATAAATTGCACAATTATTTGTATTAGTCTTTATAGTTAAACATATAATTAAGCAAAAGATAAAAATATGAAATGTTTTAACAGTATTTTAAAATATTTTAAAACCTGCAACATAAAATAAAACCATGTTTTCTTGATCTGATAGCAATATATGTAGGATCACACTCTCTATTTTTTGAAACCATATGCGTGCACTTCAATTGCAGGATGTATAATCACCTATGGAATGAATTAGAGTTAATTGGAAATGAGCAAGTTGTGCTGATGTATCACTGCATTCTCTATATGTAGATACATTCATATGTAAAGAAAAAGAGATAAAAGTATATATTTTCTTTTTAAAATTTTTTTTCATTGAAGTTCTAACATAGTAATGTGAAAAAAAAACTTAATATTTTAAAACATTTAGTAATTAATACCAAGTAATCCATTAGATTTAACTAATGAATCTTGAACAATAAATCTTTAACTGATGAAAAGTAATAAATCTTTAACTGATGAAAAGACATTAAGTTCTTAAAACAAGAAATATTTACCTTGTTTAAGACATAAATTTCCTATCCCCCAATTTGTTTCTTAAAACAAGAAATATATTTCTTGTTTTAAAAAATAAATTACAGTGTAGGAAATTTTTTTCCTGCTTTAAGATTTACAGCATTATAGTTAATCTAGTGTTTATAGTTTAAAAAATATATTTCTTGTTTTAAGAAATAAATTGCAGGATAGGAAATTTATTTCTTAAAAACAAGCAATATATTTTTTGTCTTAAACTGCCGACAAAGATTTACAATTTTGCTGTATTTATATTTTCATTTGTATTCGTGATTTTGCTGTATTTTTATTTTCGTTTGTATTTTTATTCATTTGTATTAAAGTATTTATATTTGTGTTGTTAGGTATATGGTTGGCTATAATATAGAAAATTTAAAAAGTTCAAATCCACAAACTATAAAGTATAAATATGGAATCTGGAAGCACTGAAAATCATTGTATTGAATCTGGAACTATGTAGAGAGAAAAAATAGTAAATGTATTTTTATATATATATAAAAATGTAATAATAATATTTATATTTTAGTAAAATGTTAAAGATTTCGTTTAATTTTTTTAAACTAATTTTTATTATATTATATTATTATTGTTTTTATTGTTATTTTTAAACTGATAATTTTGCTCGTGGTCTACCACTTGATAAACTTATTTATGGTCCATCATATTAAGAACACAAGATACGATCATAATGTTAATGAACTACTGGTGTTGGTTGATTGGTATTGATTCAAAAAAACAATTTTTTAAAGCAGTTGAAGTTTATATTATAAGCATAAACAATTTTTAAAAAATGCTTATGCAAAAATTTATACAATAATATGTAAGCTTAAAAAAATTTAAAAAGAAAGAATAAGCTTATGCAAAAAGAGAAATAAGGCTCACAATATATGCTTATCTTTTTTAATTCCACAGATTTTAATTATAATCTATGCCATGATTATGTAATTTATTTTGTGTTTAGATATATGTTTGACTATAATCAAGAGAATGCGAGAAAAACGCAAAAAGAAAGAAAGATAGCAGTTATTTGCTCTAAAAGCATATATATATATATATATATATATATATATATATATATATATATATATATATATATATATATATATATATATATATATATATATATATATATATATACTATATATATATAAATATAAATATATATATATATATATATATATATATATGTATATATATATATATATATATATATATATATATATATATATATATATATATATATATATATATATGTATATATATATATATATATATATATATATAAATATATATATATATTTATATATATATATATATATATATATATGTATATATATATATATATATATATATATATATATATATATATATATATATATATATATATATATATATATATATATATATATATATATATATATATATATATATATATATATATATATATATATATATATATATATATATATATATATATATATATATATATATATATGTCATTCTTTTTTTTTTTTTTTAATCGTTTAAGGAATACAATTTTAGAATAAGAGTTTTTTGTAAAGTAAATTTTGCGCTTTCTATGGAAATTTCCGGCAGCAGATTTCCAGAAATTTTCCGTTATTTTACTGAAAAATCAGTCACATGTTAACGAAAATATCCGTTTAAATACGGAAATATCTGTTATTACGATAATAGATATTTTCCGTAATTTATACGGAAATTTCCTTCAACATTTTATTTTTCCGTAAAATAACGAAAACTTTCTGGAAAATCTGCTGCCGTAAAAAACGCGATATTTTTTTAACAGTGTATTATTATGCAGATTATTATATAGATATCTATATAGTTTGTTATTAACTTATAATTCTATTTATAAACTTAAAAGTTTATTATTATATTTTCACTTATCGTAAATAGAATACTTATAATCATTTATAATTTTTTTATCATTTTAATATAGTTTAATTTATGTTAAACTTATAACTTTTAATTTAACTAATAATAACTTATTTTTAATATATATTTACGTTGTTCTTCCCTTACTTTATTAATAAAATATTTTCATTATTTTATATATTTTAACTGTTAAATAAATATTATTTTATTTTACTATTGAATTATCTTTATATTATTAATAGATACTATTATGGTTTTTATTATTTTGGTTAAATTGCTGCTCATATTACTGTTTGTTTCCTTATTTCACTTCATTCAATAATTTCACTTTATAAACTGTACTACTTAAATGTCTACTCACTGCAAAGATTGTTTCAAGAAAATTATTAAAAACCATCACTACCTTCAAGGTAATCATTGCGTAAACCTTTTTCATAAAAAATGCTGATACAGTCATACTTAAATTGGTCTCTCACAAAGTGCAGGTCTGGTGAACTTTGCAAGATATAAGATTCAACAGAAAAGTTACTTCTTTTCTGTTGAATCTTATATCTTGAATATTACGTGAATGATAGATGTAGAGAACTTGGCAATGACTCTGGTTATTTGAATTTTATAGTTTTGGTACTTTAGTCGTTTTTAAATTTGTTAAAAAACTTAACTTAAAGCACAGGTACATTATTTTATAGCGCAAGCAATTGCTTATAAATCAATTTTAATATATTTGATCAGTATCACTAACACCATTGTGTTAGTTAGAGAGCTGACTCCGCTAAGCCAGCTTTTCCAGTTTTTGTTATTTGTACAGTAAGTATTTCTACTTGTACCCGTGTGTCAAACATGAAAATCAAGCTATGTTAAAACTTGAACAGTAACTGGGTAAAAAAAAAAAATTAAGTTTTTTTTTTTTTATGAAACAAGATTAAGAAATAATTTTTAAAGATTAATAGCCGATTATAATTGGCTATTGTTTTATTTTTCTATGAAAAAAGAGCATAACTTGTTTTAAAATCATAAACGTGAATAGAGCAAAATATGTGAACGCTGAAATCAATATTATGTTTCAATTACATCTTTATTACGTTATAAAACATTTGCTTCAAAATTTTTGATGTCGCAAATTATTGAGAATAAATTTTTAGCAAAATATTCGAGTCAATTTGCAGTATCGAAAAATTTATAAGAACGATGTATAAAGTTTTTATTAGTTTTCTTAAATATATTTTGTTATATACGTTTTTTACAACTGTAAAATGTGAAAACACTCCAAGTCCAATTTTAAAAGCAGCAGATTTTTATTGGATCGATTATACTGTTATTGGACTGGCTTGTTTTTTTTCAATATTTTTTCCAGTGACTATATTACGCTTTAGAAAAGATCTGAACGGTTGCAGAATGTTTTCACTATGGTCGTATTTTAGTAAGTTTAATTTATTTTTATATTGTTTAATACTTTTTCTTAAGTCATAAATAAAAATCGCGCTTGGTTTTAAACTTTGAGAATATTATAGATAAATTTGAATTAATTAATTATTTTTAAAACAAAATTATGTTGTTGATGATTGTTTGATTAACTTAAGTATTATTTCTATGGAAACTAACAACCTCAGAACTATATACAAACTTCAGTGGGTGGCCATTTTTTTGTTGTTGTAGATTTTTTAAACAAATAATGCAAAAAATATGGATTTTAACAAAAAAAATTGTAGTCGTGGCGCAGTGGTAAGAGTTCTGGCTTAGAACCCAGAGGTCCGAGGTTCAACACCGACGCTAGCTCAATAAGCGATATTGGTTAACAAGAAGGCCTGAACTTACTTGTTAAAGACTCTTCCACGGTGTTCTGTGGTAAAATCGTAAGGAGTTCTGGGAGCGCCTTATTAGCTACTTAAGTTAAAATTTAGTAAAAAGTTAAAAAAAAAGTTTTTTTAAATTTAAAAAAACACTGAAAGAAAATGTCTACTTTATTAAAACATTTACAAAAAAAATTTGAAAATTTAGTTAATAATGACACCTGTAAATAAAATCAGAACTTAATAAGAAAATACCCTTACAAAGTGCAAGAGGTGAAAATGGTAAAAAATACAAATCACTATGCCAAGAGACGAGTAGACAGTTTACAACGTTTCACTTAAAAAAAAGGAAACACTTCTTAAAATCATACAAGACAAACAAACAAGGGTTCAAATGCGAAATCATGAAGGAACCTAAGCTTACTCCAGCATTGAAATTAAAGCGTTTCAGTTGGGCTTAACAACATTGACATATGCCTACGGAAGATTGGGAAAACATATGAAAATAACTATTTAATTGTTTATTGTAGCAATGTGACTAAATAAGAAATTTATATGATTTAATCCTATTACTTTTTTTCTTTCAAATTTGTTTCACAGATTTAAATTTAATTAAAATTAATTCATTCCTAATTCAGAATTAATGGACAAGTTTTCATTTGTTAGACCCAGGACAAAAGAAAATAACTTTCACCTTTGGAAGCAGTAAAAAACTCTCTAAAGATTATGATGTGCTCAGTTATAATTGGTATGAGCAGAGTGTAAATGGTATGAGAAGACTATAAGTGGTATGAACAGATTATAGGTGGTATAAGCATATTATAAGTGATATGAGCAGATGATAAATGGTATAAGCAGATCCTTCTTTATATAGTCAAAGGCAAAATGAAACAGAAGCGACATATAAAAGTATCAGTTAAAAAAATATTTCCTTAGTTGCATAACTGCTACAAATCTTAGTTTGTGACAACATATTTAGAGATAAAAATTATAACTTTTATATTGTGTCTAGGGTATTCTCCAGACTTAAAACCAACAAAGAACACCTCCAAATTTATAAAGCGAAAAATTGGAAACACTAAACAATGTTTGACATAATATGCCAAAACCCAATAGGCGCATGAACGTCTAATATGGGGAATTATGGAGAAATGAGACATTAAAAAATTTTTCTAGAATATTTTTAACACGTTTTTTTAATATATAATGTAAGTACTGAACCAAATAAGTTTTAAAAAGTAAAGCATCATCTTGGGCATTAATTCTATTTCCAAAGTTACATCAGGTTATAAAAAAGTATACATGTTTTTATTTTTAGAGGAACTGTGCCTTAGAGGCAAAGTGGGACAGGTGTGGAGTAAAGTGGGGCAAGCAAGTAGCTAACAACAAAATAATAAAACTATTAAAATTGGCAACCACATAGCCTTCAGGTAATGGTGGAGAAATGGAAAATCAATAAATTTTCTTTATCTAATTTTAACCCTCAAAAAGTTGTTTTTTGAGTAATTTATGTGGTATTTACCACACGCAAAGACTCAAAGCGGTATTTGCTAAAAAGAGGTGAATAGTTTTTGAGACATTCTACTTCTTTCCTAAATGTTGATACAAGTTTTAGTTTTGGTCAATTATCCGTTCAGAATGAAATCCAGAATAACGTTTCGAATACACCTACATGAAACGTATTTTCAAGGTTTAACAAAGGATTATTCATAGCATGCTCAACATCTGAAGCGAACGGACGTGTGTTTCTAGTGTGGATTTAATTTGTAAATAACAAAAGTAATAATAAAACTTTAATACGATTTCTATTTGACTAACATAATAATATGGATTTAGAAAGTATTGAGAAATTTGTTGCAGATTTACTTAAAAAACAAAGCAATGCAAACTTAGATGAAACCAAAAAACTTTTGAAAAAACAAGAGAAAAGCTTTGCGTCATTAACAGCTGCGAACTTGAAAATGTTCACTGAGAGACTTGACAAGTACAAAAAAGAAAATATAAATAACCTAATAAAAATAAATAAATTCGAAAATGATTTAGAACAAACAAATAAAAAAGTCGTGTCCTTAGAAAATGATTTACTTGAAATAAAAAAATTTATTCAAACCAATGACGATATTGCTTCAGAAAAATTTGAGTTTGTGAAATCAAAAACAAAAGAGATAAGTTCAATGCAAAAAAAACAGCGAGATATTAAAAGTAAAAAGTAAGCTTTAGAGAAATAGAAGATAGATCCAGAAGAAACAGTCTGAGAGTCGATGGTTCAAAGGAAAGCAAAAATGAAAGTTGGAGTGATACTTAGGCTAAAGTGTTAAAATTATTTGAAGAAACCTTTGGTTGAAAGATATAAAAATAGTAAGAAGACAATAAAAAGGTTAGATCCATAGTTTTGAAATTGATCAATTATAAAGACAAGGAAAACATTCTAAAAAACTCTCGGAAATTAAAAGAGGAAAATATTTATATCAATGAGGATTATTGCGCGAAAACGATGCTAATAAGGAAAGAATTACGGGCGGGCATGAAAAAACCACGAGAAGCTGGAATGTTTGCGTATATTTCATACGGTAAGTTGGTGGTTTACAAATGGTCTCGAAAAGCAACGTAAATATTTTATATTTCTTTTAACGATACTTTATTTTTATTTTTTATTTATCAATAGTTTTTCAAATTTTAATTTAACTTTTAGAAATGAAGAACAATCTCTCTTACAATATTAATGCTAAAAATATTGTTTTTAGCGATAATAACTCTGATAATTATACTGAAACCTTATTAGAAAGTGAGTATTATTCAATATCTGAATCTACTCAATATCTCTGTGAAAATAAGAATAAATTTTCAATATTGTATATTAATATTCGAAGTATAAATAAAAACTTCGAGAACTTTAAGTGTTTATTGGGTGAACTTAATCATGATTTTAAAATAATTTGTTTTAAAGAAACTTTGCTTAAAATCAATGAAACAAATTCTAATTTTAAGTTAAGAAACTGTACATCAATTCATCAAAATCGCGATATTTACAATTCATCGAATGCGCGATATTTGCGGTGGTGGTATAAGCATAATATGCTTATACCACCACCGCAAGTAGAAATAGGATTGTGAACGTATATTATACGTTCACAATTCTATTGATTTTATTCAACGTAATGACTTTAATGTAAACAACACAGATTGTGAGGCATTATGCGTTGAGATAATAAATAAATTAGCTAAAAATTTCATAACCAATGTTATTTATAGACCGCCAGCTGGTAGTTTAAAAACATTCAAAGCTTATCTGCGCACATTCCTTAACACAAAAAGTATATTGCAAAAGCATGTTTACCTATTTGGGGATATCAACATTGACTTACTCAACCATGCCTTAAATAGTGAATCAAAAACTGTTATATTCTTCTCGATTACAACCTTATCCCAACTATAAACAAAGCAACAAGAGTAACTAAAAAATCATCGACATTATTAGATAATGTGATAACTAACATTTTTCATAATAGCCGTTTTAAAACTGGTATAATCAAGACTGATTTAACTGATCATTTTCCTATATTCCTTATTACTGAGAGAGTTACTCTAAATAATTCTACCCACAAATCAACAGTATTCATGAGACAAATCGATGAAAGTTCCATATGCCAATTTAAAAATTTATTAAATAATTACGTCGATTGGAGTCTTGTACTGCAATCACACGATGTAAATAATGCTTATGATTTAGTTCTAAACCAATTTTCTAAAATGTATGATAAGGCATTTCCTTTAAAAGTAAAAGTAATAAACTCAAAGTCGGTTGTATCCCCATGGATGACCAAAGGCCTACTAAAATTATCAAGGAAAAAACAAAAAATGTATGATAAATATTTGAAAAATAAAACTTATAAAAATTAAACTAATTAAAAAAAATTATAAAAGTTTATTTGAAAAAAGTAAAAAACAATCAAAAGTAAATTACTATGCCAAACTGCTTGAAAAAAACAAAGGAAACATTCAAAAAACGCGGAGTGTTATTTGGGACTTAATTGGGAAAAATAAAATTGAAAAAAACATCTTACCGCAAAAACATTTATTGAGGGAAAAATGATTTATCATAAAGAAGTTATTATTAAGAAATTAAAGAATTTTTTTCTTGATGTTGACCCAAACCTAGCAGTGAAAATTCCACTTGTTCAAAAAAAATTTGGTTCATATCCTGCAACAACTGACCAATATTTCAAACTTCAGACCAATTTCAGTCTTACCCTGCTTTTCTAAACTAATTGAGCGCATTATGTACAACAGACTTTATAAGTAACTGTCTGAAAATAAAATTTTATGTAATAATCAATATGGTTTTAAAAAAAATCATTCTACTGACCATAAAATAATTTAATTGGTTAAACATATATCAAATGGATTTAATAGGGATTGCTATACAATAGGGTTTTTTATTGGTTTATCCAAAGCTTTCGACACAGTAAATGATGAAATTCTTTTGAATAAATTGGAAAATTATGGTGTTAAAAATCAAAGTTTATTTTGGTTTAAATCATACTTAACTAACAGAAAGCAATTTATACTTAAAGAATCAAAGGACTCAAAAAACAACTCAATAACTTGTGGAGTACCCCAAGGTTCTCTT